CAAAAGGTGAAAGGCCAAAAGGATGAGACTATATAGACCATCAGGAGTAAACACCAGCCAAGTCATTCCAATGCAGGTCCTGTTCCTCAAAGCATCTTCCATCATCATGTGCATTATTTCCCAGCTCTGTCCTGGTACCTTGTACCTCCGTCCAGACTCAAGGAGCTTCCTAACACAGCTATTGGAGCACAGAGGCCAGCCATATACACTGAAGGCAGTGTTGAGAATTGGAAAAAAAAACCAGCTCTCTAAAGAGGATATGCTCCAGCTCCAAATCATTGCATTGGAACCATTACAGTAGCTAAAAGAAATGAGCTAAAGAAACAAACAGTAGTAAGAGATAAACTTAAGCAACATGACAATCAATAAGCATATTCTATCTCTTCCTCCAACCCATAGTATGAAAATTGAGACTGCTTCTTTTTCTTCTTCATTTTCTTTTTTTGAGTTTTGGTTAGAGGTTTGCTATGGGGTTTAGGATCTTCTGCCTTGTGGGGACAACAAAGTTTGAAGAAATTGATAACCTCGTCTTCATGGGATTCCTGGGGATCTAACGAGTCTTCTTCTTCGACCCAGCCGATAGGATTAATTTTCCTTCCTTGTTCAAGGATTTTAGCCTTACTCCTCGTAACAATTTGTGACGGTGAGTACGTCCTTCTGCCCTTTAGTTCTTTACGGAGATGGAGGGGGTGTTTAGAGCATCTTGTGTGTGTGTGTGTACATACATAGATATATATATATATATATATATATATACACACACACATACATATATATATATATATACATATATATATACATATATATATATACATATATATATACATATATATATATACATATATATATATATATATACATATATATATATATATACACACACACATATATATATATATAGATACACACATACATATATATATATATATACATATATATATATACATATATACATACATACATACATACATACATACATATATATATATATATATATATATATATGTATATATATGTATATTTTTTTTTTTGCAAATTTTTTTTAAAAGGATACCGTGCAAGGATTCGAACCCTAGATCTCCTGGTCTACACATTCACCCTATATATATATATATGTGTGTGTGTGTGTGTGTGTGTCTATATATATATATATTTGTTAGACATAATAGTTAAATACTAATTAGTTATGGGGTCTTTGTGTAATTAGTCTCTATGTTACTCTTTATATACTGTGTAAGGCTTCCTGATTTAATTGAGTAATAATATTCTCCCATTATGGTATCAGAGCGATGTTTTCAATTCCTAAACCCGATCAGTTACTGATTTCTTAGCCGATCGTTTTCCCCATCTTCCCCCATCGTTCAATTTCTAAATCCAGTTCTAGTTCTTTCCCTTCTTCTCCGATCTTTTTTCAGATTCTCCTTCTCCAATTTCCAGATTCTCCTTCTCCGATTACAAATTCTCCATCTTGGTTGATTTTCTAGCTTCCTGAACGAGAGGAGTCTGCAATTTCACGCCAGCAGGATTTTTTTTCTCTCTCTCCAGGATTTGTAAAAAAAAGAAAGAAGAAGAGGGGAATCAAAGTGTTTCTCTACTTGCGGTGCAAAGTGGCATCAGGATTACTCAAAAAGAAGAGGGGAATCAAGAGGAGACAAGATCTTTTTTTTTCCTACTTGCGGTCCAAAGTCAGTGTTTTTGTGCAGAGATCTTAGTCGGAGTATTTGTGGTCCATGTGTCTGCTTCGCCGGTTCTTCATCATGGCCAAGACCGCCGATCCGCTTGATGATCTTCCTACTGGATTAAAACTTTTTATCAAGAATCTTCATTCCTTGACTGCGGAAAAGCTTGATGATACGAATTTTCTGTCATGGCTTTCTACAGTCTCTGCAAATTTATCGGCTCATCGACTTATGGGTCACGTTGACGGCAGTATCGTTCCTCCTCCTCCAACTGTTCGCACGGCTGATAAAGATGGGAATGTAAGCAGCGTTCCAAACCCAGAATACGAGAAGTGGTCTGTCATCGATGCCCAGTTATGTGCCTGTTTACTTGCCATCATCACGCCTTCTGTGCAAACTACTCTTCTTGCACATACTTCTGCTCAGGCTATTTGGAATCAACTGCAACTACGATATAACTCTCTCTCTCTTACTCATATCTTTCAGCTTAAGGAACAATTGCATAATATTCATAAAGGCACGGATTCGATGCAAAAATACCTTGATGAAATTGCTAAAATTGTAGCCTCACTACACCGTGCTAAGTCGGAGATTTCTGATCAAGATGTCATCTTGTGCATCCTTCGTGGATTACCGCCAGACTATGGTTCTATTAAGCAAAACATTTGCACAAACATTGGCACGGTTACTCTTACTGAGGTTACGTCTTGGTTGATTCAAGAAGAGTTAAACCTTCAAATGGAACAAAAACTGCAATTAAAAGAGTCCTCCACCACAGATGTGCACACGGCCCTATATACCAACTCAAGTTTTCGTAGAGGTCGGGGAGGTCGCTTTCCATACAGAGGATGTGGTGGTCGAGGAGCAGCCACTGGCCGGTCCTTTGCTGCTCAGAACAGTGGTCGCGGCCAATCTAGTGAGAGAGCATCTAGTCGTGGCTCGTACTCTTGTGGAAGGGGTCCTGCGTATCGTGACTCTGTGATTTGTCAGATTTGTGGTAAATATAATCACGCGGCTTGGGATTGTTGGCATCACTTTGACTCTGAATACGCAGGACCCAGTTCTCGCTCTCTTTAGGCGTTTTATGCAAATCAATCCCCTACACCCAATGAGAATTGGTTTCTAGATACAGGTGCTAATACCCATGTTACTCCGGATTTGTCTCGTCTCTACTCATACTCTCCATACTCTGGTACTGAGAATGTCACTAGTGCAGGTGGTCACTCACTTCCTATTGCTCATGTTGGCTCGGGTAAAATTCCTACATCCTCCGGTATATTTCACCTTGGTAAATTTCTCCATGTCCCATCCCTGAAATCTCACCTTCTTTCTGTTTATCCTTTATTGATGATTATACCAAATTCTCTTGGATTTACCCCTTGAAACAAAAGTCTGAAGCTTTTGGGGCGTTTCAAAGTTTTCAATTCATGGTTCAAAATCAATTTGGTACCACCATTAAACTTTTTCGCACGGATAATGGAAAAGAATATCTAAGCAACCAGTTTGCTCTTTTTCTTCAACGTCTTGGTATTCTTCACCAAAAAACGTGTCAATACACGCCTGAACAGAATGGTGTTGCAGAACGGAAACACCGTCATCTCATTGAAATAGTGGTCACCCTTCTTCATACGTCTCATCTTCCTGTTATTTTTTGGGTCGAAGCTCTTGCTGTTTCTAATTTTCTCATTAATCGGCTTCCTACAAAAATTTTAAACAACCACTCGCCATTTGAAAAGTTATATAATCAAACCCCTGACTATTCCTTCTTACGTGTGTTTGGTTGTCTCGTTTACCCACATTTGCGACATGTTGTTGATCACAAACTCCAACCCCGTTCTAAACCATGCGTCTTTATTGGCTACGAACCCTTGACAAAAGGGCATCGTTGCTTTGACCCAACTACTTCTAAGGTCTATGTCACTCGTCATGCAAAGTTCAATGAGTCTGAGTTTCCTTACCAAAGACTTTGTTCCTCTCCCACCTCTAGTTCTGCTATGTCTAATTCCTATTTTGGAGTTCTTCCTCTTTTTCCACCTTCTTTTGGGTCACAAAGTCCTGCTCACATGCCTCAACTCACTCCATCCTCACCCACACCTCAAATTTCCACTCAAACAACCTTTCAAAAATCTCCAATTATCCAGCCCAGCAATTCTACAACAATACCTACCCAGCCTGCCACGGCTTCTGGCAGCGACCCTGCTGCCAATGATTCGGTTCCCAGCACCTCCGCCCAACCTTCTGCCCAACCTTTTCCCACTGAATCCACTCACTCTATGACCACCTGTGCTAAAAGTGGCATTTTTAAACCCAAACTTTATGCTTCCACAATCCCCTTTGATGAACCCCCACTTACCGAGCCAACATCATACAAACAAGCTGCACAAAATAAGTATTGGTGTCAAGCTATGGATGATGAGTTTGAGGCATTACAAAGACAGAATACATGGGTATTGGTTCCTCTACCTAGTGATCGGTATCCCATTGGTTGTAAATGGGTTTTTTGCATTAAACGTAATTCGGAAGGTTCTATGTCGCGTTATAAAGCTCGTGTTGTTGCAAAAGGTTATGATCAAGAGTATGGTCTTGATTACTCAGAAACCTTCAGCCCAGTTAAACAACAGACAATTCGTGTTGTGCTCTCTATTGCTATGCACTACAATCAGCTTGATGTGTCAAATGCCTTTTTGAATGGGGAACTTGAGAACCCCATCTATATGACACAACCTCCGGGTTATATTGATCAGCGATATCCTCACCATGTCTGCAAGCTGCAGAAGGCCTTATATGGTCTCAAGCAGGCTCCACGGGCTTGGTATCTTCGTCTTTCTTCTTTTTTGGTGGCACAAGGCTTCACTACCACAACTCATGATACCAGTCTTTTTATAAAGTGCTCTCCTCTGGGTACTCTCATTCTGTTATTGTATGTTGATGATATTGTTATCACTGGATCATCTTCTGCTCTTATTTCGGTTTTTATAAAGAGTATGCAACAAGAATTTCAGATGAAGGATCTCGGCTCTCTTAAATATTTTTTGGGTCTCGAGGTTGAGCGTACCTCTGATACTCTCCTTCTTCATCAAAACAAATACGCAGGAAAGCTTATTCATCGAGCTGGTGTTGATACTTGTACTCCTGCTCCTACGCCTATCAGTCCCAGTTCCTCCACAAATGGTGCTGATATTCCCTTTGCTAATCCACGCCTTTTTTGCACTCTGGTTGGTGGTCTTCAGTATTTAACTGTTACTCGTCCTGATATTCAATATGCGCTTAATTTTGTTGCTCAAAAAATGCATAGCCCAACGGATCAAGATTTTCATACGTTGAAGCGCATCCTCCGCTATGTTAATGGCTCGCAGACGATGGGTATTGTGTTCCGCAAGGGGGATCTACATCTATGTGGCTATTCTCATTCTGACTGGCTAATGATCCATCGGATAGCCGTTCCACCACTAGTTATCTCATCTATCTTGGACCAAATCTTGTCTCTTGGAGTACGGAGAAGCAGACAAGGGTCTCAAAGTCTTCTACGGAAGCTGAGTATCGAGCCCTCTCCGCTGCTGCTTCTGAGGTTATGTGGTTAACTTATGTCTTGACTGATTTACACATCACCACACCACCACCTCTTCTTTACTGTGACAACAAGTCTGCTATTTGCCTTACAAAGAATCCAGTTTTTCATAAGCGTATGAAGCACGTGGGTACAGATTGTCACTTTGTTCGAGAGCAGGTTCTTGATGGCTCTATGACTGCCGAACATGTTTCTTCCGAGGAGCAGCTTGTTGATTTTCTTACAAAGCCCCTCAATTCACAGCGTTTTCAGACACTCATCTCCAAGCTTCCTCTCGCATACGCTCGACTCAGCTAAAGGGTGGATGTTAGACATAATAGTTAAATACTAATTAGTTATAGGGTCTTTGTGTAATTAGTCTCTATGTTACTCTATATATACTGTGTAAGGCTCCCTGATTTAATTGAGTAATAATATTCTCCCATTAATATATATATATATACATATATTTTTTTAAAGAAAGATTTTTATTGAAAAATAAAGAAAATACAAAGGGTGGGGGCGGTCCTGACCCCTACAAGTAGACCTGTCCTAGATTATACAGAGCAATCTCAACATACATTTGTGAACAAATACAAAGTACAAGAGAAAGTAAATAATGGTTGTCGTACTGCTTAGACGAGAGTTCCATGAAGAAACAGACAAGGAATGCTGAACATCAATGGTGCTAGTGCCCTGCATGTTCTCAAAATCCAGAGAGGCTTATCCAATCACATCGCTGCTCCCTTAGATACAAAAATGTATATCTCTGAATGAAATAATTAATTGATACTGAATGGACAATATCAGGAAAGCTCCTTGCAAGAACCATGTGAGTTGATAGTACACAGATAGTAGATCAAAGACACGTTCTTGAAATGAGACTTGAAACTTGAAAGTCTTGAGGCAGCTAAAGTTGGGACTTAAGTGGAGTACTTAAAACTGAGTAAATGAGATTTACTAATGAAGATTTAACAATTAGAACAATAAAGTCCATAAAGACAAAGTAAACTCGAACTGTGCAAATGAAGAAAAGAAACTAAAAGATTTAGATTAAGTTTTTATCATGGGTTAACTTAGCTTTCAAGTCTGATAGTCTTTTGCTCCTTCTTGGTTGGGTTGAATCCTTGAACTGTAAACAGAGAAGTTCAAATTTCTTCTTGTTTCTCTTCTTGCTACCTTCTCTTCTAGCATGCCAGTCTAGTTCTTCTTCAGAACCTCTATCCGTTACCCACTCTTCTTCGGAATCAACTGAAAGAGGGTTAAAGCCTTTGAATTCTGGTTGTATCTCAGGTCCTGAGTTGTAGCTCAGATGTGCTCCCCACTGTGGATTATCCAAGTCATTATCTATATATATACATATATATATACATATACATATATGGGATTGACTCCAGTGAGATGACATCTTATGGTGCGATGACATGCTTCGGTCAGATGACCCAAAGCTCACCATTGCCCACTGCAAAGCTCACCAAGCACAACTACAAAGCTCACCAAACTGTAAGGCAAAGCTCACCATATTTTTTTCAACACTTTGAATTTTTTTTGAAAAAATAAAATCAAAGGAAGGGGTGCTGACTAGACTTTGACCGTTGACTCCAGCATTGACCGCCGCCTGCCGCCGCCAGTCGCTGGCCGCCGCCGCCGCCAGTCGCCGGTCGCCGCCGCCGGTCGCCGCCGCTGCCATACTCCGGTCGCCGGCCGCCGCCGGTCACTGCCGCCTGCGGCCGCCGTTGACCGGTGGTTGACTAGTGTTGCTAATTTATTTTTAATTAATTTTTTAATTTCCAAAATTTAAAAAAAAGGGAGTTTTGGGGTTCAAAGTGGTGAGCTTTGCTTTATATCCAGGTGAGCTTTGCATTGTCTATTGGTGAGCTTTGTAGTGTAGTGTGGTGAGCTTTGCGTCATCTGACCGAAGCATGTCATCGCACCGTAAGGTGTCATCTCACTGGAGTCAATCCCTACATATATATATATATATATATATATATATATATATAATATTAATATATATATATTATATTAATATATATATATATATATATAGATTTTGGTTCAAGTGAGAATGCAATCTTATGAAAGAAATAAGAATGAATCTGGTGCTTTAGATTGTGAGATCTAAGGGTTAGGATTGCATCAAAATTAGGTGCACCAAAATGGTTTGAAAATGCATCATGTCGAAATGCACCAAAATTGTTTAAAAATGCACCATCTCAAGATCTGAGTGCAGGATGCAATCTGAGCCGCACGATGCATCAGATCCAAAGACTAGATTTTATTCTTATTTCTTTCACCAAGGTTCATTCTCACTTGAACCACCCCCTATATATATATATATATATATATATATATTAAATTTTTTTTATTAATATTATTGGAACGGTCGGTTACAAGCAGGGGGCCCGAGGTCCGTTAACCTCGTGACCGCCCCGGGGCCCATTAAACACCCGAGGCAGATAGCCCACTATAAGAAGCCCAATGAAAGCCCAATCTAAAGCCCAACCCCATAAATCTGCAAACACTTCCCACGGGGTCACCCATCATTTCTGCTACTCCATGGCCAGCACGCTTAACTCCCTTAAAATTCCCCCAAAGTTGCCCCTTCTGAGGATCGAACCCGGGTGGTGTGGTTCGCCAATCAACCCTGTGACCATCTCTACAGGGGGGAACCATATATATATATATATATATATATATATATATATATATATATATATATATATATATATATATATATATATATATATATATATATATATATATATATATATATATATATATATATATATATATATATATATATATATATATGGGGTTTCTTTTCCATGATGAGGTAGTAATAGGTTTGTTAATGAAGTAACCATTATCATTATTATTATTATTATTTTATATTATAGAATATTTTTATTTATTTATTGAACTGTAACATCTATTTTACTCATCACGCTACACACATAAGTCCGAATTTAACAAGATATATATCGTTGGTCACCCTTTTATGAGACCTACCCAAAAACCTAATTTTCAAATAAAAAGTGTCAGCTTTACAAACATTTCATATTTTTGGGTTAGAAAATAGATTAAAATAAGTCAATTTCTAGGTTGTTATAGGGTCTTTCGTTCGTCCTGTCGTAGGGTTCGGCAAAGCAGAATGGCCTATGGCGGTATCGGGATACCAGTAGGTTGGTACCGCGCTATCGTCTAGCGCGATAACCCCTATTTTTGCACCTGTTTGATTTTACAGCAACAACCAACATCCAATCTCAGAAAATTCACTGTAAATATGTTCATAACTCAATTCCTAACTATATCCATGTTGGACACGTTTTTATTATGTGGCCTGAGTTATCATTTATCTAATTAATTGATCATTGACCTAATAAATACCCTACGTATTTATTTGGTAATTATTCGATGGACGTAATTACCCTTATGACCTAATTAGGGTTTCCCCTTGGGTGTATATAAATAGAGGTATTAGGCAGAGATCGACACACCAATCTTACGCCTCCTCTCTGCCTCTCTATTCTCGTGAGTCTCATCCTCACCTTAGCCATCATAACGATACACCCTAAACGGGAACTCAATCTGCGTGAGAATCATGGCCTCATCTCTAACTGCGTTTACAGGATTATCAGGTACACATGATTAAATCCCTAATTTATATTTTATATTTGAGAATTGATCAACATGTTGTATCAGAGCGTTATGTTGATTAATCAATTGTGTTTTGTTCCCTATAATACTCGAATTATGATCGGAAAAAAACATACCCGTAGTAATTAAATTTTAACCCTAGCTGAAGGTGTCTTCCTTCTCGGTTTTATTCCTTTGGTTTATCTTTTCCGATTGGGCCACTGTATCATATCACCACAAAACATTGAGTTTTGCAAACTCATGATGATTGCAAATCAGATTTCTAAAGGGGCGCATACTTTTCGGAAAAAAAAAATCAAAACCTTAATACTCTCATTATAATTATTCTTTGATTCCATTTGAATAGTTATTAAATCCGAGGAATTGTTATGTTTTCATCCTTATTTTGATGAAATCATCTTGTTTTGGTATTTTATTTGAAATATAATTGTGTTTCCTTAAATTGTATGGCATATCTCACTTTTGCATGATATATTCTATTTCCTTATTTATTAATTTACTTTACCAAGAATAGCAAAACTAAATAAGGGATATGCTAAAATACCATTTAAAAAAAATTAAATTTTTTTTACTTGTTGGAAAATCTCTTGCCTTATATGCCTTTGATTTTCTAATTAAATTAATCTTAATGGGTCCCCAATTTTGTAGCCCTGCCCCGAACCGCTATAACTTTTGCGGTTAACATTAAATTATAAATCATTTGACTAATCTTAAATAAAATTTACTTTTATGATTAGTTAAATTGATTTATTTTGCTTGACTTGAATAATACCTTAGAATACACTTCTGCCCAAAGGTGATGTGTAACATTTGTAAAATTTATTTCAAGTCTTATTAAGCATTGTCATTTGGTGCATATCCTTAAATAGATATTTGCATGACACTCGCCTTAAATACATAATATTTCACTTCTGTCCAAAGATGATGTGTTATA